TGGCGTGCTGGTGCAAGGGACGGAAGAGAAGAGAAGAGTGCAAGTCGTAGTTGGCAGAAAGTACCCTCAGCTAGCTCATTGCACTTCAAATTAGCGCCCTCTTGCTTAGGTTGCTCGCTCCAGGCAACGAATGAGGAGGAAGAAGAGGAGAAAGAGGGGGGTTGTTTTTAGCTGCCAAAGTTCTACACTATCGCTGCCTCACTGGGCACCACTATTAGGCTGATAGAGACTGGGTAGAGGTACCAGCAGTTTCAGCACCCACTAGTTATTGTGGAAAAAGAAAGAAAACAGAAGATATGCAGAGGCACAACAAAAGGGGACACCAGCAGCACCGGTACTACCGCCACCACCCTGTGATCTACTCTGATCTGATCTGTAGATGTGCTTTCAGAGAGTCAAGTCAATCATACACATAGCAGTATCCAGGAGACGAATTGCAGAGGCTGATTGGCCAGAAATGCAATGTAAACCAGCAACAACAGCACTCGACTCTGGCACAGTACAGATCACATTACAGTTCAGTAGCAGTAACAGCAGTAGGAGAGGGCTGGCTACATACGGGTCTCGGTAGTGGTTTAATTACCGTCAATCTTATCTGCAAAGCTGCACTCCTCACAATCAATTGTTTGCATTCACTTACTCGTATTACCGAATGAGGCTCGGTGTCATCGAGCCAAGCGAAAAAGAGAAAAAGGAGGGGGTGAGAAGAGCTTTCTTTTACTTTCTATCACGACTGCACTATCTGAACGCCATCAACACACCTGAGGTGAGGTGAACCAAAGTGGGCCATCCATCCATTTGGGTGCAAAAACTGACGACTCTACAACTCTACAACTTTTTATTTCCACTTTGGATCTGTTGTGTTTGCTCGCCAGTCCGTGCAGCGACAACAACGGCAGAAGCGGCAGCTTTGGCAGCTTCGGCGACAAATGCCAAGGCAAACCATGGCACCAGGCACTCTTTCATCCGAGGTGTCCACCACCACCACTGAACACATGTCCTCTCCATTGGAGAAGAGTGTGCAAAGTGACACTTATGGTGATGAATACCGGGTGAGATCATCCGAAGCAGCAGCAGCAGCAACAGACAGAACAGGACAGAGCAGACATGTCTCAGTCATTGAGCAAGCATAGAGTTATCAATTTAATTTGACTATTGTCCCAGAAGACCATGAGGCAAAAGCCATGACCGGTACCATTGTCAGCTGGCTGCGACCATGCGACAATGCCGGCTGCTGCTGCTCGGTGAAAGACCGAAACACTGAGACAGACAATCCTGGTGGAGCTAATGGAGCTAAGTGCCTTGGCTTAGCTGATATCGAGCTGGGTCTGCTAATTGAAAGTGAGCCTCCAGATGAATGGATGAGACGAACAACGGGAGAACAACGGGAGGAAGACCCGTTGCTACTGTTTACTGTTGACTGCCGTTGCACTGCTTCACTTCATTCGCTGTCTGTTTCGGTTTCAGCCTGTCTGTCTGTTTGTCCGTTCACTCGGCGGCAGTGATCACAAAGAAAAGAAGAAGAGGGCTATGCAAGGCGCAAAGTTGAGGAAGAGGGGGGTTGCGATTGGGTCGTCGATAAGAGAGCGATAGAACGAGAGAGGAGGCGCGCATTGGAGGAGTTCAGATTACAGAAGATTAAACCTGAATGTAGGCCTAATCAAAGCTATCTGGCCAAGGGTCTGGCAATAACTATCGCCTCCATTGTTTGCATGCACTAATGATGCCTTATTAAATAAGGCAGACTTAGGGTTGCCTCTTCTTCTTGTCGTCGATGTTCTTGGCTTCCAGCACTCGCTGCCAGTGGCATTCTGTGCAATGGCAGCAGCAACACTGCACTGCGAATTAGTCGTTCCATTACATGTCATTATCATTACTGCTGCTGCAGCACTAATGATGTCCCGGTGACCAGCTCCACCGGAGGAGACTGCCAAGGAGAACTGTCACTGTGAAGCTACCCTCACTGCTTTGGTTGCTGCTGTTGTTGGCGAGATAAGACAAAGAGATTAACTCAAGCAGTGTGCTCACCGACTGATCAGACCCGTGACAATGGACAAGAGACGGAAAGAGAAAGAAACTCAAATGGCGAATAGCTCAATGGGTGAACCCACCGATGATAATGTGACCGATACGAGTGAGGTCGAGAGAGAGAGAGAGCGTTTGTCGGCGGCAGCAGCACAAAGACGAGGAGGCAATGCGCCGTGAAGACGTTCTGACGACGGAACCGAAAGGTGAAGACGCCAAAAGCAGAAGTGTATTTATGTGCGAGGTGCTGCAGCTGAGGACGCGCAAATGGTGGTGGTAAAGATGATGATGATGATGATGGTGATGATAGCGACGATGGCAGTGACAGCGCTGGCGGTGCTAAAACAAAACGCCATTGTCACTGCACTAGAGTCACTGATAAATGTCAAGTGCACACACTCACAGAACTGGTAAACCTGATTACAGCGAGTGTGTTTTGTCTGCTTCTCAGTCCAGTATCAGTATCAGTGTGTTGTGCAAAACCATCATCGAGTGACAACATGACAAGCACTGCTACTGACTGCACAGTGCAAATGCGTGGGCGACCATTTACAGAAGCCTCCTTCTGTGGGCGATCAAGTGAAGGGTACACACAAACAAAAAAATTCACTGGCCACTGTGCAAACACACCGACGATGTCTTCTTTCAAGATTGAAAGTCACTGTCAGTGCTGATCATCACGACAACAACCACAGGAACAAACACAATCTACTGTGATAGCAGTTGATAAAATACTAATTAAAGATATTGCCAGTGTGCCAGTGAAAATACTGCTTGAATTGACAAATGAGATTGACAGAGGAAAAGAGCAAACGAAGGTAGCCGTTATAAATCAAATTGCCAAGAGCGACAGGCTGCAGCAAAACTGAAAACACTGATGAGTGTACAAAAATAAAGTAGTGAAAGATTAAGAGGTACAGTCAAACAGAGAGACACCAAAAAAGAGTACAAGTAACAAGAGCGGAAAAATGGATATGAAGTGAAATGACAGACTTGCGTGGCAAAAGCACCTTTTTGCTGGTGTCGGTGGTGAGGAGCAGCAAGGCGACAAGCGACAAAGTGCCAATGTCGCTTGTCGCCCAGTTGCCCATTAACATTATTTATGTTCACTGCCTCCTTGGGTAAAAGAGTCCACAGAAGAGAGAGAGAGAGAAAGAAAGAGAGAGAGAGAGAGAGAGAGAGAGAGAGAGAGAGAGAGAGAGAGAGAGAGANAAGTGCAGGTACACTAACTAGAAAAACAGTTGCCAATTTAATTGCTACCAGAGGAAAATGCACCACGGCACTTCAGGGCGCTTCTGTTCTCTTATGGCACCAGGGAAGATCTCACCAAATATAATACCCTTTAAATCAGCTCCCCGCTCCTCCTCCTTCTCCTTCTTTTCTGCAATTTCAACCAAAAACTACCACACACACACACACACCACCCGCGCGTCACTTGTAATTACTGACTGGAGAATGTGCAATAAAAAATCGTCGCTTTGTTTACCCAGACAACACAGAGGCAACAAAGTTGTAACAACTCTCGTACAGTTTGTTCTTCTCCGATTGCAGAAGAAGAAGGGTCATCTGAAGTGCAATTTGCGCCAACAGCCTGCGCGCTCTCTTCAAACAGTAATTTCAGCGGTGGTTTGTTTGTCCAGGAGAACCAAACACCGTCCACTGTGTAGCCTAATGACGGGGGCCTCATCAGCTAGCCTACGCTCACAGGCCACTGGTGATAATCGAAGCCACTGAGAGAAGTCGAGAAGAAAGTGGAGAAGCGCGCGACACGAAACGGTCTGCTGAGATCGACAAACACTGCCAAGTGTCGACACAGACACCGTGACACTTGCTTGCTTCACCAGCAACAGCAGTTGTTGGCCAACAAACACAGTCAGTGTCAGAGTAGTGAAAGTTCAGACTGAGAGATCAGCGAGGAGGTATTACCATCAAAGGCAGCAGAAGTCACCGAATGACCAGAAGCAGTGCAGTGCTTCTTACAGGGCCAATCGTCGTGGCCTTTGCTTTGGTGGGCAAATACCGGCGGTAGTGTTGGCGTCAGCGCGGCAGTGGTGCGCGCACTCAGCGTCCGCAGTGGATCATTTGCTGCCTCGGCACTGTAGTGACACACAATGTGCCAGATTAACTTTATGATAGCCTTGCATCATGTGCCCCTCCTGGTGGCCCTTGCAGACAGAAGTGAGAAGGGGAAAACTGAAGTCAGGCCAATTGTCCTTGGCTTCATGCCGATTCTGACGCGACAGACAAATGACTGACGCCTAGCCAGGCAAGCAGACAGAGAAGACGGCTCATGAATGCTAGTGCCATTGTCAACCGGCCATTGTCAGCTCAGTGGTCAGCTTTAATTAGCCCTCAACAGGGACCACAGTAGACTACTGCACTGATCGGCCCTAGACGACGGCACCGACGGTGCTGACTGGCGGTGGCAAAGACTGCCTAAGACAATGGGCAGTCAAAGAGAGGGTCAAAAGCCGCAAAAGGCAGTCAAAGGGAGAGAGGACACACTAAGCACATTAACGTGACTCGTCGGCAATCAGGCAGCGAAATCGTCGCCACTAAGTGGACATCGAAAACGAAGTAAAAGAAGGTGGTGGTGGAAGCACACTGATAAAGGTGCGATTAGCAGATAATGACGAGGAGAAGAAGGCAGAAGGCAAGATAGAGAGAAAGCAGGTACTTCTGCCTCTGCTACAATAAAAACAATAACAACAGTGTTTGCTAACTACCTGACACGCAAAGACTGTTTACAAAGTAAAGCAAAAAAACATGGAACTGTGACTTACCTTCGNTAGCACACTGATAAAGGTGCGATTAGCAGATAATGACGAGGAGAAGAAGGCAGAAGGCAAGATAGAGAGAAAGCAGGTACTTCTGCTTCTGCTACAATAAAAACAATAACAACAGTGTTTGCTAACTACCTGACACGCAAAGACTGTTTACAAAGTAAAGCAAAAAAACATGGAACTGTGACTTACCTTCGACCAGATTTGGTGATGACCATTTCGGTGCCCAGTGAATGGAATCGCTCCCATAGGTCCTTCGACTCGAGCGTCACCTTGGGATCATCCTCGATGCCGTCGTCTTCCGGCTCAAAGGGCGGGCGGACGCCGGCAGCGGCGGCGCCAGCACCGGCGCCCGGAGCCGCTGGCCCGGTCAGACCGGCGGCGGCCGCTGCTGCGGCCATCTGCTGTGTGGCAATCATCTCTTCGGGCGTGAAGAAGGGCGACCCGTTGGAGGAGCCAAGCGGCGAGGGCACCTGTGGTCCGCCGGCGCCGGAGGGCGAGCCGAGGCTGGGCGGGCCCATCTTGCCGAAGAAGCCCGCCGCGGCGGCGGATGCGGCCATGGGCCCGAAGAGCGCCGACAGGTAGGCTGACTGTGCTGGCTGGTTGGCGGCGGCTGCTGCTGCGGCTGCTGCTGCTGCCGCCGAGCGGTAGTTGAGATCGGCAGCCCGAAGGAGGAACGGCTGCGGTGGGTAGGCCATCTCGAGTGGATGATCGGTCGCCTGAATCGGTTCTACATCCAAACTATATTTCATGAGGTAGGAAAAGGGCGGCGTGCAGTGCTCTGGCGGAGATTGGCTTCAGTGTTGTCGTTGTTGTTGTACTGTTTGGGTGAACTGTTTTCAAGGTGAGTAGAGGTGGATTAAATTACAAAGTTAGTCACACGCACTCGCACACTCGTTGACAGTTGAAGGGTGAAGTTGAAGCACCAGATGAAAAA